GTTTAAAAGTGATACTCATATTTAAAATTTTAGTAAAGTAAAGTTTGTCAATTTTTCTGTATTCAAACTAGTCCTAAACACATTTTGTAATGTTTTATTAGTTTCTGTTTCATTGTGAAAAAAAGGGAGATGTATCATAGACTGAATAGCTAACATCACTAGCAGTGTGTTATATATTAATCTATGGTTGCTTGTCATGGGTCCCTGTCCCGAGAGAGGATTAACCGAGTAGAGAGTTAGGCAAGATTTATACAATAATATAATATTTATAATAAAACGATAAACGTTCCTCCAATAACTGTTTTATTAAACAATACAAAGTGTAGTTCGGTTACAGGCGCAGACTCGGCAAACAGCAATAACTACGGATTAGTGACTGAGCTACTCGATGACTGCAAGAGTAATCTGACTTATTCGCAGGGCATTAAAGCTAGGAAGTTTTTACAGCGCTACGCGAATATCTTCTCCAGTCAAGAAGGGGACCTTGGAAGAATTTCGATGGTTCAGCACAGGATAGATACCGGAAGCGAAAGACCAATTCGTCAACGAGCAAGACGGATACCAATTGCAAAGGAAAAAAAAGTTGAAGGCCTTTTGGAGGACATGAGAAGGAATAAGATTATTGAACCGTCTACAAGTCCGTGGTGCTCACCTGTTGTGTTAGTGAAGAAGAAAGATGGTAGCACGAGATTTTGTGTGGACTATAGGCGTCTCAATGATGTCACTAAGAAGGGCAGTTACCCGTTACCTCGAATTGACGACACTTTGGATACCTTAAGTGGCATGAAATGGTTCTCGACCCTAGACCTGAAATCTGGATACTGGCAGGTGGAAATTCATCCAAAAGACAAGGAGAAGACAGCTTTCTCGACCGGTAAAGGTTTATGGCAATTTAACGTCATGCCCTTCGGATTGTGCAACGCGCCTGCCACATTTGAGCGACTCATGGAGTGTGTACTTGCAGGCTTAGTTGGAGAGGCTTGCTTAGTCTACCTAGATGACATCATCATTGTCGGCTGTGACTTCGAGGACCATTTGCGAAACTTGGAACGAGTTTTCGTCAAAATAGAGGGAGCCAAATTAAAGTTGAACCCGAAAAAGTGTCGTTTATTCAGGAGCAAGGTCAACTATCTCGGCCATGTTATCTCCAGTGATGGAATTCAGACAGACCCGGAGAAACTGGAAGCAGTTCAAAAATGGCCTACCCCTAAGGACAAAACCGAAGTGCGGGCATTCCTCGGCCTATGCTCATACTACAGGCGTTTTGTTAAGGGATTCTCAGAGAAAGCCAAGCCATTACATCGGCTGACAGAAGATAAACGACTATTCAGTTGGGATGGGACTTGTGAAGATTCTTTTCAGAAACTGAAGAAACATCTGTGTGAAACACCAATCCTGGGGTATCCACAATCTGAAGGTCAGTTTATAGTCGACACAGATGCAAGCAACACGGCCATTGGAGGGGTGTTATCTCAAAAACAGGGTGAAAGAGAAGTTGTTATTGCATATTTCAGCAAATCGTTATCCAAGCCAGAGAGAAACTACTGTGTAACAAGAAGAGAACTCTTGGCTGTTGTAAAGACGCTACAACATTTCAACAAATATCTCATCGGCAGACAGTTTTTACTGCGAACTGATCACGCAGCCTTGAAGTGGCTACTGCAATTCAAGAACCCGGAAGGTCAAGTAGCTCGATGGATTGAGCAGCTCCAGGAGTATGACTTCAAGACGGAACACCGCAGCGGAAAGACGCATGGAAATGCCGACGCACTCTCACGAAGGCCGTTTTCGGAAGACTGCAAACATTGTGTTAAACAGGAATCTAATGAAGTTACATTAAAGCTAACGAGGACAAGTCCTTTGGGTCTCTGAGAGAATGATGCTATGAGAGAGGCTCAAGAAAGTGACGACGACCTGCGGCACATCATCACATGGAAGAAGCGGGGCGATGTAAAACCAAACTGGAGTGAGGTTGCACCCACTGGCGCTGTCACTAAGGCGTACTGGGCGCAATGGGACAGTCTGATACTTCAAAACGGAATACTCTACCGGAAATGGGAGAAGACTAACGGCAGAGAGAGTTCCATCTTCAGATAATTGTCCCGAGAACGAGAGTACCAGATGTTCTCCGTGAAATACATGATGGCGTATCAGGAGGTCATCTAGGTGTCAAGAGAACGTTAACAAAAGTGCGAGAACGATTCTACTGGTTGCATTGTCGAGATGATGTACAGGATTGGTGCCGCAAATGTACTACTTGCGCTGCTGTAAAAGGACCACAGACCAGAAGCCGTGGGAACCTGCGGTTGTATAACGTCGGTGCACCGTGGGAACGAATTGCAGTTGACGTAGCTGGGCCATTTCCTGTAACGGAATCGGGAAACAAGTATTTTATGGTCGTCATGGACTACTTCACCAAATGGCCCGAAGTGTTCGCCATACCAAACCAAGAAGCTACAACAGTCGCTTCTAAGTTAGTCGAAGAAGTGATATGTCGTTTTGGTGTGCCTCTAGAAATCCATTCCGATCAGGGCAGGAACTTCGAATCACAAGTATTCCAGGAAGTGTGTAGAATTTTGGGCATGCATAAGACGAGGACCGCCGCGTGCCACCCACAGTCTGATGGAATGGTTGAGAGATTTAACCAGACCCTTGAGAGGCATCTGGCGAAATTGGCAGACGACAAACAAAAGGATTGGGACAAGTATATACCACTCTTCCTTCTGTCGTACCCAACCGCCGAGCATGAGAGCATAAAAGCTACCCCGGCGTATGTCAATTACGGTAGAGAACTACGATTACCAGTAGACCTATTGACAGGAAGGTCACCGGAGGGACCACAGACCGTACAAGACTACGTCTGCAATTTAAGGGAAAAAATGCGCTATATACACGCCTTGGTTCGGGAAAATGGGTTACAGTCAAGTGAGAACATGAAAACCAGATACGACCGGAAATCGAACACGGACGGCTTCGAAGAAGGGTCACTGGTTTGGCTGCATAACCCAACTCGTCGGAAAGGGAAATCCCCCAAAGTTGCAGATCAAGTGGGACGGTCCATACAAAGTGGTTACCCGACTGAATGATGTGACTTATAGGATTCAAAAGCAACCAAGAGGGACATTCAAAGTGGTACACATAGACCGTCTGGCGCGTTACCATGGCAGCAACAATGATGCTCGGGACGAGCATCTCTAAGAGGGGAGTAGTTTTATGAACACACAAAGGAACTAACGCCATCTAGCGTCAACTATTAAAATCACTAAAGAACAAAGACGACATAAAACCCCCTATTCAATACTAGATGGCGTTAGAGGAACTGCTGTGGAACTATAGTCTCGAAAACCGGGTACATTCGCGAACTTTCCGGAATCACGAACATGTTCGGGCGTGTCGGGCGTCCAGGAAGGATCATTCTGGATTAGTCTGGAACCGGTCTCGGCCCATATAAAAAGCTGCGGGGAGGCGAGCGAATACAGTTCAGTTTGAGCTACCTTCGAGGCGACTTCGGAGCGAAAACTAGTGATCAAGAGCGATACCAGTGAAACCTACGACTTGGCTACAAAACAG